AATGGGCTTCAAGCTAAAACGACTACGAAAACGGTGGTAAACTTCTTTTACCTCAAAGTATTTGTTTTAACCGTAGAGACAGAAAGAGTTGAATAGTGTAACTTTTCACCAAGCTGTTTATTTAAATTTAGAAAATTTTAGAAATTTAAATTTCTATAGTACTAATCTCTGCACTTAAGATTAAACATTAAAATTTGTAGGTTTTCTGCGTTTCGTCTGGTGAGTGAGGTAACCGGGGCCCACGTTATTATAAGGTGACAACGAATCTACAGATGTTGCAGACACTACAGATGTTGCAGATGTCCAAGGGCGGCGGTTATCACTTAACGTCAGGTGAACCGCCAGCTCGTTTGGCACTTTCTCACATAAAGAAAAGACTACTATGTGAGCTAATGTAGCGCAACGAAATATTACTTTTACTTAATAACAGGTCTTGATATCGACAGGCAATTTTCGATATCGAAAATATTTCTTTTCTCTGTAAAAAATTTCAGGATTCTACCGTGGGTGTCGGCTGTCAGGCGCGTCACTTAAGGTCGAGGTCATAAATGGAAGGCCGGATATAGGCATTTATTATTTTACTTATAAAACGAAAAAAGTAAAGCATTTATGTGAAAAGTTGTCAACCGTGAATGCGGTTCACCTGATGTTTATTTATTTATTTATCACCAACAAAGTAAACACCGCAACAGAATAAACAATGTTTGCAAAAAAAGTGACGAACGGTAACTTAAATATAGGTAAAAATTAATTTTTAACAGACAGTAGAGACAAAATCAAAAAATTGTTACAAAACTAAAGGTGAATTACCAACATTATAATAATACAAACATTAAACTAAAATACAATAAAGATTAGAAGAAAAAAACAGTATATAAAGAATGCTACTAAAAAAAGTTATAATAAAAAAAATATCTTAAGTGATTAGAGCCGCCCATGGACTTATACAACACACGAGGGCTTGCAGACGCGTTGATAACCTTTAAAATAATTGGGACCAGTTACCTCACTACAAACGAAACGCAGAAGAATTATACTTCCACGCCGGGTCTTCTATGAGGCTGAGATACCTCCGTGGACGAGCCTGCCCATTAGTGCAATCAAAACAAATCAAATCAAAAATATATTTATTCAAATAGACGCTTGCGCCTTTTTATGAATCGTCAAATTTTACATCAAAAAAATATATAGGGTCGTAAGGTACCACCGGTTTGGAAAGCAGTTTCTGTTGAGAAGAGACCGGCAAGAAACTCGACAGTTGCTCTTTTTCAAAAATTTCATTTTACAATATAACATACAGGTATAACAGTCTTATTCTAGCCTACGAGTTGTCGAGATATTCCGCAATGGTAAAATATGCTAACTGCTAAACCATAAGTTGACTTTTAATTTTACGTTTAAATTGATCAACAGCCAAAGATGCAGTATGAAGCAGATTTGAACTCAGGTCGCTCGAGTATATTCAATTAATAACCTGCACCCACACTGAGCTATCACACTATCTGGCAACAAAGTACTTTTTCACCCGAATGCGGCGAAAAAAGAAGGGTTATGTGTTTGACCTATGTGTATATCCTCATGTTTTGCACTAAAGCGCTGCACTGACTTTCATTAGTGATTATTCGTAATATCCGATTTTATTCCGAGTGCCAATGGATAAGAAAAAGAAAATATAAAAAACAAAATGTCGGATTTTTGGCGCCAAACTTTCAGTTTTTAAAAAAAAAATTGCGCATATCTCGGACGGACTTTTTACGTGTTGTAAAAGGAAATTGAAAATATCGATTATTATACAATGCAGCCATCGATCAATGCTCACAAATAGAGTGCAAAAGTCTCCAATGGACGTCAATAAAGCATAATATTAACTAGTCTTATTTCTTAGGCAACCTCGCAATAGTTACAATTACAGGTTTTTATAAACCGATACCGAACTCACGCACTCAGAGTAAGCACTTACAGGCATCCTAATTGTGCTGCATACTCTGTGATGGATATCATCTAAGTCAACATATGTTTCTATTAAATGCTAGCGTTTTTCTAACGCATTTTACGAAAGAGGTCTTCGTAAATAAAGAGTATTTAAACTAATTTCGATTTTTTACTTACAGAGTCAGACACGTGACAGACTGAAATAAGAAGCTGATGACAATCAATTCAAGAACACAGCAACAATTTAAGATACTGTAAACTGTAACTTGTCGTTCCGAGATGAAGAAATCTTATCGTTGTGAACATCGGATCAAAGTAAAATAAATATTTGACGTTAAAGGTAAACTGAGGCTTTAGGGCTCAGCATCTCCATGTACATAGACATGCATATCACACTATAAGTATAAGCAAATTGCTATTGCCTTGGTATCGAACCTGATATTTTTAATAATAATAATAATACAAATATTTATATTTATATATATATGTTTATTTTTATCCATAATATTTATTTTATATATGCAATATATATCTATATTTTTATTTTTATTTATAAACCCAACCAGACGAGAAAACAAATGAATATCACCCCATAATAATAATAATAAAATATCTTTATTCACATAGACGCTTGCGCGTTCTTATGAAACGTCAAAATATACACACGTATATCAGGTTCAATACCAAGGCAATAGCAATTTGTATCTATTTACATTCATCAGTAAGCGTATATATATATATATATATATACATTTAATGCAACAACGGGCGAATACGCTCATACAACGGTGGCTCAACATGAAAAATTAGCGAGCAACTTGTGTACGAATAGCCATTTAGCGACAAGATAACCCTCCCAGTCCCGGATGCGAGATATGCGACATGAGAGAGAACCGCTAACCTCTGCGTTACGGCTACGTAGTCCGAGATACGATCCCGTTACGAGACGCAGTTAAAGAAATGCAAACGAAGCCAGATTCAGCTGATGTTATATGATTGCAATGCACCCGAAGGGTTTGCTTGCCAAAGTTTAACAAAGTGGGCCTTACTACCTCATTAACCAGACGAAACGCAGAAGTGTAACACTTCTACTTTACGCCGTCTTCTGTGAGGTAGTGGTACTACCCGGACGGACCTGCCCATTCGTGCAACGGCGAACACTGTTGCGTGGTCCTACCACAGTTAAAATTTTATAAAAGCATATCGGCCTATTGTTTTTACGTGAATAGTATCAGTACATGTTTTTCACAATTAAACAATTTTAAGGATGTTTAAATTAAACTATTTTACGGATTTCTTTCAGTGTTAGCTTGGTTTTAAATTTCGGACCTAGAAATGTAAAGAGTTGGAAATAAAAACAGGTAAATAACTTCAAGGCTACCTTACCTCTTATCATAAGTACAGTGACCTAACGGGAGGCTAAAATACATATTTATGCCTGAACCGTATTGCATTAAGAAATTTTCACAAATTTGTTAGCCAAACTAACAGCCGATCGGAACACGAAAAAAAAAATTTACTTGAGCTAATTTGCACGAATTACGAATTAATCATAGCTTTTCCATCAGAACTCAAATATAACTCGATGAAAATAAATAAAATAAAATAATATATAAATTGCTCGTAGTTGAATCATAAAAAGCCCATGCAGTATATATATCATATTTAACATCAAAACACCTAAATACATATCCTAATTAGGTACTGGCTTACACACAAATATAAACTCTGTTCCCATGATACTCTATTGACTCGGGAAAAATAAACAGTTTTCTGAATTATTTCACACGACAAAATATTTTATATCGCTAAGAAGCGGCCGTAAAGAGAGATACAGGGAGAGACAGAGAGCGGTAAATGAAATCATTTTTAATCAGATAAGCTTCAGAAATATAAATGAGGCGAATTTAATTGTTACAAATTCATGCCAAGGCTACGCACGATAATTGGCTAATTTGAATACTACAAATTGACGATACCGATGAGCGTACGTATTTGCAACCGCCACCAAATAATTATAAACAACACACTGTAATAACAGGACTACCATCCGGTAGTGTAACAATATACCGGTACTTCTGAAAAGATCGATTTGAGTTTACCAAACAGTTCTAAGCGATGGTAAGGATATAAAGTGAAACACATGTCATGTTAAAATCAACTCTCGGTCACTTCACACTTTTTAATCCCAAAAACTTATGAAAAAAAAATTTGAATCACTTAAAATCGAAAAAAAAAAACCGCGCAAACGTTCGCGTTTAACGCGAACCATCTCCATACTGCTTGTAATATGACATTGCTAAATGAAAGATAACATAGAAGCGAACAACGCAAAATGTCGTAACAGCACTCGAGTTTGTCAAACGAATTTAAGCCATAATTGTATGTGTTAAAAAATCAAATTCCTCTGTCGCCGAAAATGATTTAATACCATTTAAAATAAGCGCACAAGATAAACACCGAAAACCAATGGGGAGCGACAATAATCCCAATTTACATTGCATTAATGAACATAATCGCATAATAAATACGCCGCAGGAAAATCGTGCGGAAATCAAACGTTTGCGGCCCGTACTTATGATAGAGCGAGACGGATGCTCACTGGGCAAGGTCACTCAAACGAGAGCTCACATAATTATGTTGGTATAATGCAACGAACAAATATGCATAGGCGTTTAAATAGTTTATTTAAATTATGTCATGTTTGTAGATGTTCCGTTAAGCGGAAAAAAAAAGTGAATAATTCTCACGGATTTATTAAGAAATTTGAATTAATATCTCACATCTGAGTTTTTGTTGAGCTCTTGATTGAGCTCTTGAGCTCTTCGCGTTCGAAATTTGAAAACTTCGGGACGTACTTTAATTTCTTAATTAGAAACAGCGTAAGCAAAAGACGCCTCTATACTATAAAATGTCTAGAGCCAAAATTCTCTGCTCTTATCATACGATGAATGTGTTTATTCATTTTTTTGGAGAGAAACGGTAAAGATGACATCGGGTCATTGACATGAAACACATTTGGCTTGCACGGAGGTAATATTTTGTTTCATAAAAATAATTACACTTACCTCTTCTTCTAGAGCGACCGGAAATTGTGTCAGAGGTTTCACGGCGACGTCTTCTAAAGCGGATTTGCGTCTGGAAACAGAATCAAGGGATTGCCCTTAATGTAAACATATTATTAATTGAAATTATTTTTACGAATTACATCGCAATAATTTTAATCTTAAATACCCGGCATCTCAAATACTTTATGGCATACATGGTATAATACAATGCGATGACTCCGTGGCGCAGTTGCCAAGGTATTCTTCGGCGTCGGAGGTCGTGAGTTCGATTCCCACACGGGACCACTATTTGGGTGACCTACAGATAGTTATTCCGCATCCGGGTGTTAGTCCACGTGAAATTTATGTTTGCAAAACGTCCTTACAACACAGGATAATGTTATCCTAAAGTAAAGGTAATGTTTTTTACAAAAAAAAAATTATAAAGAAATATAATATCACACATCTGAGTAAATTCTTCCAGCGGGAAGAACTTATTAAGTAATTTTAGTTGAATTGACTTATACTCTTTGAAATTTAATGACAGGTGAATTTCCTGCCTTTTTAATTAGTTCAAGCTTTTGTTTTCATCAGTCTTGACCGTTCAGTCTCTAATCTGATCGTGGAAATATTAACTCTTAATTGATTTGGACTTTAATCAGTGACTTTCTGCCGTATGTTTATTTGGGAAGTTTTTGTTTTCATCTGTTCGAGTTGTATATATGTGGACCCTGTCATAGAAGTCGTAACTTGCCCTAGTGGAATTGCGGAATTTCTACTCGATTACACATGTAATGAATACATCGATCTCAGATTACGCGAAATCTACAAAGTCCCGAGTTAATCATTAATTAACTTCCGCACTCTGGCGAGGACATGCGTGTTTATAAATACAAAAACACAGAATTCATTTATATTGCACATTGTAGAAGAAGAAATATATATCTTTTAAAATGTGCAAGACAAAATATATAACTGTGTTTTAAAACGTACCTATTGTGCATGCAGTAACCCGGCATAACATAATAATTCTTACTAATATTATAAAGGCGAAAGTTTTTATGTATGGATGGAGGTTTGTTACTCTTTAATGAAACTGTACAATAATATGGCTTATATATCAAAATAAGACATAGGCTATAATTTATAAACTTATATATATTTATGTATATCTGTCTTTCTGTCTGAATGTTACGCCTTCAGCCTATTCTGCGCAGACGTATTCGCGGGCAGCAACTAGTGTTGGCAATAAAAATATTTCCCGCACTGTAATCAAATCGCACCGTAATTGATCCGAAGAACTTTACGAGCTCAAGACTTACAGTGAAGAAAATAAATCCACTGCCAAGTGCCAACCCTAGATCAGTAAGAGTTCAATGAACTCTTGACGATAGGGGGAGATCTCATAAAAAATTATTATGACCGCACAACAAAAATTCATACTCTGTTTGTTTCCGAGTTGTTTCTATTATTTATTGTTCTGTTTACTTTTTCTAGTTGCAATGCTTGAGCGCGTTGGCGCGAAAACTTCTGTCAGATTGTCGATGCAAGACAGAGATGGAAGATGAACGGAGTCTTAAATAAAGAGGGTGAAACATTTTCATCGCATTTATGACATGATTTTTGAGCATCTGTCGTCTCTCTTTCACAGAGGAGGTCAAAATAATGTCTCCTAACTACAATTATATGTAATATTTTATAACTTATCGTATCCTTTTTAATAGGTAAAGCAGAAATAAGAGCACTCACAGATTTTAAATGTTTAACTATGACTAAATAATATTACGAGTATAGTTAAACATTTAACAACTGTGATATCCGTGATAGCTCAGTGTTCGGGCGCTTCGCCTTAAATTCAATATACTCGAGCAACCTGAGTTCGATCCCCGGTGCCGGGACCAATGAAATTGTTAATTTTAAGTGCTGAATTATCACGTGCTCAGCGGTGAAGGAAAACATCGTGAGGAAACCTGCATATTCTTAGAAATAATAACGGAAAAAGATATTTCGAAGATATGTGAAGTCCGCCAATCCGCATTGGGGTCGCGTGGTGGACTATGCTACCCTCTGTATAGAGGAGGCCTTTGCCCAGCAGTGGGAAATGAGTAGGCTGTTACTTTACCTTTCACTTTTACATTAAATGCTTAATCTCGCTTGAGTAGGTCGACAGGGAGGGACTCAACAAAATGGACTGACGTTATATATTATGTTCGCGGCCCATGAAATTAATCGGGTAATATAAAATAACATGGTCCGCGAATGCTCAAGAGCAGGGCAGAATAAATTTAGGGCATAACATTATTTTACACATGGAATTAAATCCTTTAGATTTTAAAACAATTACAATTTATATTTTAAGTCGGGTAAAAAAATATGAGGTGCCGAGTGTCGAAGCTTCACTGGCAATATACTTGAGTTAATATAACTTTATTTTTGTAGTATATTTCCGTATACTTATCCATCCATGACGGAACTATATCTCTTATCCTTTAAACGAGCAATTCTTGTATATATTATATAATTGGAATCTCGGAAACGGCTCCAGCAATTTTCATGAAATTTAGTATGTGCGTAGGTTCGGGGGCGAAAAATCGATCTGACTAGGTTTCATTTTTAGAAAATGTCGTTTTATCCCAGTTTTCTGGGAATGAAAAATATTATTCGAATACGACGGTAAATTTCACCAAAAAAAAAATGTTATAATAGCTCGGTCGGTAATCGGGCGGCCGCTAATAAACAGCCACGAAACTGAAGGCCGTGGTTCGTATCACGATCATTTACACACTTATTTTTTTTTCCATTCCAGATCATTGCTTTCTTTATCTTTTATTCGTTGTCCATTTGTTCTTTTGTTACTTTTTTTCCCTTTTTTTTTTAAAGTTCTTTCTTTTGTGAAAAACACCAGTTCATATTTTCTTATTATTACGTCGGTAAGATCGAAACATATTATGTATCTTTCATTACTTAGTAATTTGTATCTAAATGTAATTTCCAAAATACACGATTTACCAAAAAAAAAAAAAAACAAACCGAGCAAAGTTCGGTCCTCCAGGAACTGTTTATTAAATTACCAATTTTTTGTACACAAAAAAAAATTACAGTTTGGCTACACATCTGCAACCAGGTGTGGTATATGACCACCGACGGCAGTAATCACCCAGTACCAGGCGAACCGCCTGCCCGTTTGCCAACTTTTTCACATAAACAACCCATACAATTACATACATTGAACGCTTGCTGTAGTGTATCGCTTAACATTCTCTAGTATACGAATTCGTAATTTTTTTGTTGTTTATTATTATTAATATTTTGTTTAAAAGCGTTGGCCTTAATTTAGGATAACATTATCCTGTGTTGTAAGGTCGTTTTACAAACATAAATTTCACGCGGACACACTCAGATACGAAACAACTATCTGTGGGTCGCACAAATAGTTGTCCCGTGTGGGAATCGAACCCACGACCCCCAACGCCGAAGCCAATACGTTGGCAAAGGCGCCACGGGGTCATCAATTAATTGTGATTGGCTTAGGTGCCGGTGGTCGTGGGTTCGATTACCACACGGGACAAGTATTAGTGTGACCCACAGATAATTGTTCTGGTACTGACCGTTTATTCCGAAAGATTGTAAGAAAATCCAGCCAATGACTAGACCACAATGTGGTATATTCGTCGAAACATACATAAGCACTCATGAATATCACAAAGAGTGGTAGACAATTCCATATCTTTTTTTTTAACTGATCTTCGTGCTTTCAGTCCCGAGACTATTAAAGCTTCAGCTGACGCAGAACCGGCGGGCCAGCCAGAACCCACGTGTATTCCATATCCGCTACTAGTTTCATTGAAAGGAAGCGTATTAATATTCTCTACCTGAGGAGTATGATCTTGAAGACTGGCCCCACCAGACCCTTGATGATGGCAGACGCGTTCAGATGACACCTGCCGTGCAACACTATTCCGTTCACCTGTGGAAAGCGAAACACTTATTGGATCGACCAGCGAACGATCATAAGTCAAGTTACATAAAACATCTTCTCGTGTTCTTTCATTTTTAATTGTACTAAGGTTTTTTTTTATGTAAGACGATGGCAAACGATCTAATGGTTCACCTGATGTTAAACAAACTTGTAAAACGCTAGAGTGATCTCGTGTTATTATTTCGAAAATATGTATGTATTTAATAATTAACGCACTTGTTTATTATTTTCTTCACTACTTATACACATTATTTAAGTATGTCATAAAGTGGTTATTATTGTTAACGGGTCGTTAATAAAATTAATGTAACACTTTATGTTCTCTTAGCGAACACCTTTAGCACATTAATGTCTAATATATGGAAAAATAGGACCGTAATACGAAGGCCTGAATAGTAACAATTTAGAAAATCTAGCAGCGGTGTATATGTGGGAACAACACTTAAGATATATGAAATATGGTAACGTTAGTACAGATATGAGAACAGTTGAAATATGATTATATTAGATTAAATGTAGAAGAATACATTAACTATCGTAGCGATATATTAAGAACATTTGTAGTGATATTATGTCGGGACATTTGTATACATTATTGTAGGTACATTATTAATGCTCGTGTTTCACCTAATAGTAAGTGAGGAATTCAACTATGGGATCTCACCAGAGATGTTGCAGAGGTTACGGAAGAAAAACCGCGCACGTAGGGTTCCGTACCAATATATATATAATAAACTAATTGGTAAGTACCTATAGGTTGCCTAGCAACCGCCTCGCGTTTGTTTTATGGGATCGCCTTAAATATATTTTATTTTACTCAGTTTTTAGTATTTATTGTTTTAGCGGCAACTAAATACATAATCTGTGAAAATTCAACTGTCTGCTATCATGGTTCATGAAATACAGCCTGGTGACAGACGGGCAGACAGACAGACAGCGGAGTCTAAGTAATACGGTCCCGTTTTACCCTTTGGGTAGGGAAACCTAAAAACATAGGCTTTTTCGGCAGTCACTATTTCAACTTTCAGCAGACATGGCCATTCGCAATCGACGGGTCTATAGTAGACTGAACGAAGTAGGTAGAGCAAACCCATATGCGTAATAGTCTCTTCTGCAATGTTCCTGTTGAGCCCATACGAGCAGCATTAGATATCGAGTAAGCTGTTGTTGCTCTAAAAACCATTTATGTAGAGCCGCTTTAACGTTTGATAAGTAAACAAATGATCTGTCGGTGGCCTACGAACCAAGCCGTTGTATCAATCAGGATGGGCGTTAAACAAGAATAGTTTGCCTGTTTCCGAGAGGTATCGTACTGCAAATACCGGCACAGTGTACAAGCGATAGCGGTTTGTGTTATTCGTTTCGAAAGCAATTTTGATACTGCTTCAATTACATTAAATTCGTTCATTAACGAAATACTTTCCTGATTAATTCAGCCTTTCATTATTCAATGAACAATTAAAGCATTAACTAATTATTAATTACATTTAATTGTCATTAACAGGTTGTTACCCTTGTACATAACATGTTCACATAATTCGCAGCATAGGTAAGCCAGCCATACCAATCTCTAAGTAGTTTTATTCGCATATCTATTATTAATAGAGTTTTTATACGAGAAGACCGCAAGAGTACGCGCAGATTTTGTGTCTCCGAAAGCTGACTTGGATACTGCTATTATCAATTGAAAATACAACCTTATGATTACTTCTTCATGTCAGTTAGCAAAAACTGCTGTGTTGAGCTGTGTAGTAAACTCTCCTGTCATCCCTGATGTAGTTTAAAGAGCTTTTTGTTTACACGATTTGCATGATCCTTCCCAATCAAAGCTTTCTCTAGATTCTTTCCTTTTGTTTTAACTTTATATTTGTGGGTCTCCTACTTTTCCAAGACCTGTGCTTTAAGCTTTTCGTCATTACTATCTAGTAAAATAACGGCGACACTTGATATGGCCCTTAACCTTATCAACGGAGATGCGAATGCGTGAAATTTATGTTTGTAAAACCACACAGGATAATGATATCCTCAAGTAAGGGCAGTATTTTATTAAAAGAAAAAAATATTATACATATATAAACATCCAGGCACTAGAAAAACAGTACGTTCATCACACAATATTTGTCCAGTAGTGAGGATCGAACCCACACCCACTGACGGATGAGGCAGGTACACTACTCACTACGCCATTCGGGTTGTCAGGCTAGCCTCTACGAAATAAAAAGAAACCGTTATCGTGAAGTTCTTTGAGTGACTCTATCTAAATCTGAAGCTATCTGAGTGACTGCGTCTAAACGCTGTCAAGTCATTAGTTAGAGCCCTAGAGCATTTTATTGGCGCCGCTCCAAAATGCGTCGCGTTGCGGGCGCGGATCAAGAGATCAGCTGTTAATGTATGCAAATGCACAATTAATTGCCCGGCGCGGGTTGCGATCGCCTCAGGATAAATATGGCGGCCGACTCTACGTAGAGCGTCGGTGAAAATGCGCGGGAAAATCCGGTACCCGCATTCGAAAATCGATTTCGATACGATTATCGATATTTCATTAAGGGGAAGAAATAGAAAGGGTTTATATCGTTATCATTATTCGATTAATGTCTTCACAGTTTTGAAAGATGCAGTTATTTTTTTTTAAGTCTCTCTAGCATAACATTGTATATAAAAGAAGGATTTCTTAAAATTCTGGACGCGGGTTCGATTCCCAAAATGGCGATAAAATTTTTTGTACAAGTTTTAAGAGGGGATCTCTCAGTGGGGTCACGTGGAGGTCTATGTCCTTATACGCTATGTAGAGAGAAGGCCTTTGCTCAGCAGTGGGACTTGTATAGACTGTTACTTACCTTTCAGTATATACTAGCGTTTCACTTCAATTCCACAACTCCTGACACATACAATAAATTTTTGGTAGCACGCAAATTCGTAAGGGCAGCGTAAGGGGAAGGCAGATTAGATTAGGTTGATTACCAAATCTAATCTGCCTTCCCCTCAATGATATTATACACAAATACGAGGTAGATATGACACTAGCGCTCCAAAACTGTGGCACTCATATTACGACAATTGGTGTAATTAGATTGCATTCTATATATATATATATACATATCAAGATCCGTTTTTAAAGATTTAAGCATACATAGGACAGACAGAGAGCGGGACGACTTTGTTTTATACTATGTAGTGATAATTGCCTCCCCCTGCGTGACAGTAGCGAGTGTTTACTTATTTCCGAAGGTCATTTATCCATTAGGTCAGTAGAAGGTAAAGTTTTAACGGTCTACTGTTTAGACAACCGTCGCTTTGTTGTTATCCTGTAATATTAGTTTCGGCTCCGACAGTTTTATTATGCCGAAAGTTTCGTTCGAAATTGCTTTTTTACGAGTGACATTGGTAAATATAACGATACAAACTTTGGCTTCAATTCAGCGCAATGATCGATTGAAATGTGGTCACTGGAACGTGTATAGCCTTTATATATACCAAGTCGAGTTCTGTCAAATGAAGACTTCATGAAATCTTTTGAAATATTGAATGCCGGCACAATTATTTATTGAATTCCAATTTCGAACGTTTTATCAAAATAGAAATGTGCACTATTTCGAATTGCATTTATCTAAAAATATCGAGTGACGCTTAAAGTGGCGCGATAGATAAAGTAAAAAGTAAAGTAACAGCCTATACATGTCCCACTGCTGGGCAAAGGCCTCCTCTATACAGAGGGTATCAGGGCATAGTCCACCACGCGGCCCCACTGCGGATTGGCGGACTTCACATATCTTCGAAATATTCTTTTTTGTTATTATTTTGAAAATATGCAGGTTTCCTCACGATGTTTTCCTTCACCGCGGAGCACGTGATAAGACAGCACTTAAAGTTAAAAACTTCATTGGTGCCGGCACTGGGGGTCGAACTCGGGTTGCTCGAGTATATAGAATTAAAGGCGAGCGCCCGGACAGTGATCTATCACGGCTCTATGGCGCGATAGATAATTGAAATTTTTCCACATGGAATGAATGAAATACGCTTTATTGTACACCAGACAAAATTACAAAAGTAACAAACAACTACATAAACGTACTATTGGCGGCCTTATCGCTTAGAAGCGATTTCTTCCAGGCAACCATGTTACTGAGGTTACAATGATCAGTGAGAAGGGTTTGAGGTATACGCTATTGTAAATATAGGTATGGAGTGTTTCTGTTGGTGCTATAACAACAAAAACTAAGAAACAGAATAATAAATATATTTAAGTTGGGCTCACATACAACATACATATTTTTTTTTACATATGGTAGGGCCACGCTTCAGTTCGCCGATGCACGAATGGTCCGTCCGGGTAAATACCTCGACCTCGCAGAAGACCGGCGTAAGGTAGAAGTATCATGCTTCTGCGTTTCGTCTGGCAAGTGAGGTAGCCGGGGCCCACTTCATTAAAAGGTGGCAACGCCTTTGCAACCCTACGGGTGTTGTAACTGTCCATGAGCGGCGGTTATCACTTACCATCAGGTGAACCGCCAGCTCGCTTGCCATTTTATCACATAAAGAAAGGGGCAAAAATCTCCAAAATATGGCCCATCTGCTCTGCAGCGGTGGATGGTTAAATACTGGTCGAAGGAAATTTAAATAACAATTTTGACTCGAAAAGAAGGAGGGGCAAGCGAAAAGGGAGACCGGTCCGAATTAGAGAAGTAATCATTCTTTTTAAAAAAAAAACAATGCTCCTACATTAGGAAAACATTATCCTGTGTTGTAAAGACGTTTTAGAAACATAAATTTCACGCGGACGAACAACCAGATGCGAAACAACTGTCTGTGGGTCGCACAAATAGTTGTCCCGTGTGGGGATCGAACCCACGACCCCCGACGCCGAATCCAATACCTTGGCAACTGCGCCACGGAGTCATTATTCATACTCGTGCGATTACTTATAAGTACGGAACGTCTGCGGCCATTGCTCCGCTTATTTTTTTTATTTCAATTCAATCCACCGGTCA